TTCAAAGTAATTCTAGAAGTATATGCAACGACTTTATATCATGCAGAGTTTAGTAATATAATATATTACCATTACGAAACCAGATATACGAAAAAATCGTATCATATGCTAATGAAAGTTTATGCCGTGATAAATCCAAATATGCAAAAATCGAATTTAAAAAACGCGTTTGAGACTAACCCATGTTCATTTAGGCCTTTTTGAAAGACTAGGGAGGAAAAGCTATTTCTTAGTGGAGATAGGTAAGATCTTTCTTTCATTCTCTTCTGTCTCTTTTCTATATTTATTTCATGGTTTTCTCTCTCTCTCTCTCTCTCTCTCTCTCTCTCTCTCTCTCTCTCTCTCTCTCTCTCTCTCTCTCTCTCTCTCTCTCTCTCTTCTCTCCTCTCTCTCTCTCTCTTTATATATATATATATATATATATATATATATATATATATATACGCATATGTATGTGTGTGTGCGTTCATGCGCGCGCGCGTGCGCGCGTGCGTGCGTGTGTGTGTGCGTGTGTGTGTGTGTGTGTGTGTGTCGTGTCTATGCGCGCGCGCGTGTGTGTGTCTATATGCATATAAATATACATATGTATATGTTTACGCACATAATTCTAGCTTCAGTGTGCTAGACGTGAGCATCGGCAGTCTCCCCCCCCCCCCCACCCAGCGGTCTCGGTCAAGGACCTTATTACTCTTCCCCAGATTATCATTTTTCTTCCCGGTCTCCCATTTTCACCCACAATACTTTATAGCCGTGAAAAGAATCGACTCGACGTGAGAATAATTCAGCATAGGTATGGAGACGATTGGGAGAAGAAACGGAAGAGGATTGAATTCTCTCTCTTGCGTTAATGTGTTCGGTTCCTCGTAAGGGCGGGAGAGTCGACGTCGCCTTTCTCTGTAACACTCTGTTCTTCGAGGTCAAAGCCGATGTTCGTTTGGTTGTTTTAAGCTTTCGAAACAGGTCTTTCGGCTACTTTCCAAATCAACAAACATTAACAGATAACAATTGATTACACCAGGAAACAGAAATTTCGTTCGCATTAATAAAATAAACAGCTAACAAAAAAACGGGAACCAGTGATCATGGTATCCCGATCACGCACAATAGGTACCCGAGCATGACGTCACGCCAGTTACCTTCCTCCCGGGTTACCATTGTCATAAACGGTCTTAGGGAATCCCCGCTCGCGTCGACGTCACCCATACTTATTTTCCCAGTGCTCATAGTGCCTAGGTAGTTTAAAAGGAAATTGCTATGAAGTAACCACTAAGCATGAAAAATTACATGTGTGAAATTCTATATATTTTAAAGATCATTTTGAATATATCATTCCAGTAGAAATACATAGGGTTATTGAAAGAAATACATGAGTACGGAAACCGTTATCATCTATGGTTTTCCGTACGCTTTAAGCAATGGCTGAATGCATTCAAGTTAACTGATGTATGGAGCGCGTAGGTGGGCTGTCGCTGGGTGGCCGTGTGAATATGTAAATCATTTATGTGTACGTGTTGTAGAGGTAATTGAAACTGCACGACATTTGTAGTATTGCTTAAATTTGATTGCATATCCACCCTATCTCTCCGCTGTTATTTTATATTCACCTGTCTCACTCCTATGCAAATTCCTATATTGTATTTACGGCAGCGAAGCGTTAAGATAAATCATATCAAAGAGAAACACATTTAAATCCTTTTGAAAAACATCCTTTCAACCGTGCACCCTCCCCTCATGTCCCGTCGCCAGCTCCCTCCCCCGGTGGAGCACCTGGCTAGGATAGATCTCCTGCATCCTGTTCTCGAATAAGCCTCGGTCTTGATCGCTAACATTTACTTCCCTTGTGCTGATCTCTGGCCATCTGCCTAAAGTACTTTCATGGATTATCGCTGTTTATATCCAGTCATTGATTTGATGGAAAATCATCCTTGCCCTTTATGACTAAGGAAGGTTGAAGGTAATTGTGGCTCTCATATCATAGGGAATTCCGATCACATAAGACTGCGACTTCTTCTTTGCATAGAAAGTTAGACTGGGAGAAGAGTGATCTACTGAATTCCCGTCTTTGTTGTAGGACAAGGTATCGTCTGGCGGTGATTCCATGTGATCAGCGCGCGCAAATTAACCTTACGTAACACTAGAAAGGTAGAGAGCACCGTTTTACAGTCATCGAGTCGTAAGACCAGATTCCCTGGCCAAAACACAAACAAATATAACCCAAAGTGCCAAAAATAGACCTATGCCACTTGTAAACACCCCACAAAACCGGCGTTTGGAAATCGAGGCCAAGCGAAGCGCCTTGAGTGACACCGCGCGTAGTCCTCCCCGCCCGTCAGTTGGGGTCCAGACCTCCGTCAGGTTGGTTGCTGTGCGCGCCTGTGCCACATACGTGCGCAAGGTGCTGTGTTCTCTGGATTGGGAAGATTATATGAATGTGTTTAGATCATGGAAAATTTTGATATTATTTGGTAATGTGGATACGACAAGTACAAGTTGAAGGACAATGTGTGTCTGATATATGAATATGCTGTATTTTTGGCTTGTTTACACAATCGTGCAGTTTTGTGAATCTTAAAATTTTTATACGTCATATATATGCTTAATTTGTTTAGATAAAACAGCAACAAGCAAACAGCGGTATCGGAAACAAAAGAAACTAGCGGCAAAGGCTGGCAACCGGAGAGAACAGCACCTTGTCTAGAATAATTAACAACAGCCCAAGTCTATATATCAAAAAAGCTACAGCCTGTATCCTCAAGGCACCGGTTCCAAACAGCCTTCCGCTTCTCGTCGTGGATGTACGATAATTTGTGTCGACTCGCACGACTTTCGCCATCGCAAATGTGCTTTAATTACTGGCTGTAATCCTTATACAAATCTTATTTTTCCATTTCTTTGATGATTTAAGGCCGAAAGAGTCCCCAGAAATGACTACAGCATTGTTATCGTTGAGCGGTCGCGAATCAGTCGCAAGCCAGCAGTCGCAAGTCTCTGTGCTTGTGTGCTTGACTGTGCGACTCCAAGCCTCGGAGGATGCATCTAATCGCACGACTTCACGTTTCCCGTCAAGGACCCAATACTGCGTGAGTCAGAGGAAGCCGTCACACCTGAGATTTCTCCCGCCCGCTAAAAACATCAACTATTGGCTTAGGAGTTACTAATGAAAAAACGCAGCGCAGCGAATTGCTGAGAGAAATTCTTGGATCTTAACGTAGGCTGCGGAATAATAAGATGCGATTTTTTCATTAATTACAGTTGTTGATTAGAAACTTCCGGTAAGATAATGAGCGTAGACCTTGGCAGTCGGTAAGGCAGATTATATATTCGGTAACTAATTAACATAAAAAAACAAGGCTCCCAGAAAAAAAAACAGACAGCCAGACAGACAAGAAAAAATATAAAATATTTTTATCACAGCGAACTGATAAGAGTCATTCTCAAACCGGATCTCAGTCGAGGAACTAGTCGTTAGAGAAAGAAAAAAAAAATCTTTTGAAAATGTTGAAGTTCCCAAGGAGGATGATTTCACGCAAATACTAGGTAAAAAATAAGTAATGGTCTATCAAATCCTCCAGTGAGGAGGACTTTTTTCTGTGCTACGTTCAAAAGACCTCAACCTCAACCTCTGCCTCAGGAACAATGCCTCAACACAGTATTGTTTATATCTCTAATTATACCTTGATTTCTTGCTCCGATATTATTTATTTTCGTATTTTTTTTATACAATATATGCGGAAATGCCAATTCGAGGTAGTATTCATAAGAAATGTCCACCTGAGACGCGACAATGAATAATAAATACGAACTTAACGAAATGAAAAGGTGCCAGTGAGCCGTGAAGTCCTTTGTCGTGGGGTTGTGCAAGGCCAAGAAAGGTGGCAGTGAGGAGACGCTGACGGGGAGGTGGAGGGAGATGGTGGCGGGGGAGGTGGAGGGAACCGTGGGTGGGGGGGGGGGAGGTATTATTGGGGACGGACCGAGGACAACCTATGAAAGAAAAATTTAATTCTTTTCCTCTCTTCAGAACGTTCACACGCTTGGTTGAACGCGAATGGAATTCCCCGTGTGCGTTTTTGGGTAAGCCTATAATACAGCCTGTGGTAATGAGGTAGGCTCCATTCACCGTTGACCTCCCTCGTTGTTAGCCAAGGTCATTCGAGTACCTCAGGGCAGATGCCAACCTTCAGTGCTTGCTCTCTTGTTCAAATATATCGCGGTTCGATACAAATTCATTATTTTCAATATTAATGTTTCTTTCATTTGTCTCTGTTTACATGGGTTCCAGAGAATGCGTTGTCCAAATATGGCATCACTCATTTTAAATCCATATTCTCCTGTTTAGCCTGAAGCTTGTGAGAGCTTGCCTGCCATGGACCTTTTGTCACACAAATCATGGGGTCCAAAGTTGCAGCTTATAATGGACGCGCTCCTGTTGCTGAGGTGGCGGCAAATTCCTTTGTTCGTAAGGCTAGAATGAGCTCGCAAGTCAGCAGTACTTTTGACAAAAGGCTATAAGATGATACTATGTACAATGAAAAGGTCTACACATTTTTTAAAAACTTTTTGTTGTTAATAACAAATATATACAGCGGGAAGAAGAGTTTACTTCAAAACGGCGTTTCAAATGACGAACAGAACCCAAAAACGGAACGAATATAAAACGAAACAAACAAACAAGAACGTATTTTTTATTTGTTACCAAAATATCACTCCAGTCTTCATGCGCCTACGTAGGATCAGCGCCCACCGGAAGCGCACGAGAGTAATAGTATGCATATTGTCAGGGAGGGAAAACCCAAGGATAAGAAGGCATGGGCGAAGATGACCGTAGCCTTCAACAAACCACGTTTTGTTGACTTTTTTCGTTTTGGTTTTTATCCATGAGTGATTCTGCTGCGGAAATATTCAGCCTTTTTTTTTTTACTAGAATCATGTATAATAAGGATTTGCAGTACTACAGTAGTTATAAATATAGTCTTCGTCCCCGGGATATAATAATCAGGTAATCATTGCCTTGTAACCGAACATTCATCTCCTCCAGGAACCGTGGCGAGGAGGGCGCGGCTAAACATCATAATAACCTAAGAATAAGGAGGAAGCGAAGGGAATTAAAGAAGAAGGAAAAACGAGGAGCCCACAGGAAGAGAGAGACGGAAGATGGAGTCAAGAGGAGGGCTAAGACGCCTCCAAGTGCTCGTGGTGCTGCTGGCTACAATCTGCTTGGCTTCGGCGAAGATCTCCAAGAGGCAGAGTGAGTCCTATAAAGATTTGTTCTGGCGTGTGATTATTTTCAGATGATGTGGATTACATATTTTTATAGATTATTGTAATATTTCCAAGCTATAGAATTATATAAAAGCGGTTGGGAAGCATCAATAACTCGCACACTTATTCCTTGACCGCATTACGTTAGATTTCCCTTGTTATGTCTGAAGGTTGTTTGCCTGCACTATTTCCTTTGATAATTAATATGAGACAGTGTAAAATGAATACGTGTTTCGCATGACAGAATTAATGATTGCCTGACAGAATTATATCGTGATTATATGATCATTTAGTACCTTGACAGCGTTAGAGTTTACGGGTTAGGGACGTTAGACTCCACATCCTGAAGGCACACGCGTCGCCGCTTCTGACGACGTGAAGCTTGGCTAACTGTCATGGCGGTTCCCTCGCACGGCATCAGTTCCATCTCCATTATAATCACTTCCTGGAATAAACAATCTGTTTTGTTCTTTTTACTTCTTTTTCTCCTCTTTTGGTTCGTGTTCACGTGTGTTACATCCCGGTTCTCTCTGTTCCCGCCTTTAGTTGTTTCTTTTTGTTATTCAGTTTTTTCGCATTTCCCTTATCTCGTCTGCTTCCAGTAATATGGCTGATGACTAATTATTTACGGAATATTGGTGTAACTCACTACATCCGCTTTAACTTTGTTGCTTTGTCCTTTTTTCTCTAAATGTCTTATTTTCTTCGTGGTTGTAATTTAGTCCATGGAGATTATAGAGAATTTTATATATAATAATTTCCTCATTTGTGGAGATTTGGACGAAAAACTGATGCACGACTCTGGAAATCGAGCCAAATTTACATTTTCAAATAGATGTATAGATAGGTATACAGATTGATCATGGGTAGAAAGATAGAAAGGTAGATAGATAAAATGTATATGAATATCTATTCCATAAATAGATCATGGCTAGGAAGATGAAAAAGGTAGATAGATAGATAAAAAATGTATATGAATATTTATTCCATAAATATTTGATTCGTAGAACGTCCAGTACAGCCAAGACACCGCTTTCGATTTGTCTTTCTACTTCCTATAAACACTCCCCCCCCTCCCATTCTTACCCCCCCCCTTCCCCCCTTTGTAACCTTGGGAGATGGTACGACCACAGGCTGTACTGCTTCCTTAGGCACAGATACTACGGAAGGAGAATGTCTTGGGTAGTTTTTGCTCGAGGTATAAGGTCTAGTGGTTGACGATTTATTGTTCTCGACCTGGCTTCAGGCTCTTCGTGAAAGATAAGATTTGTTTTTGTGTGTGTGTGTGTGTGTGTGTGTGTGTGTGTGTGTGTGTGTGTGTGTGTGTGTGTGTGTGTGTGTGTGTGTGTGTGTGTGTGTGTGTGTGTGTGTGTGTGTGTGTGTGTGTGTGTGTGTGTGTGTGTGTGTGTGTGTGTGTGTGTGTGGTGTGTGTGTGTGTGTGTGTGTGTGTGTGTGTGTGTTGTGTGTTGTGTGTGTGTAGATATACAATTAGATGGTCGGTGTATGTGTCTGTGTGCCCGTGTATTTCTTTGTCAGTGTGTTATTTATAGGCGATCATTTTATAGCATTATATATATTATTTTGCTTAGTTTTTATCATCTTTTCTTTAATAAACACGCAGTTTTCCTAAAAGAATCTCTGCATATTTATTATCACATTGATGTCAAAATTACAATTGATTTTTTCGTATTACAAATCGTAGTTCACGTATTAGCAACCTTATTTTATCGCCAGCTAAAAACAGATTAATAAATAAATAAAACCTGTGGTTTGCGGTATAGTCTATATTGCCCTTAACCGAAAGAAACGACCTTATGTAGGGGTGTCATAGGGGCTAGAATCATATAGTCTCCTTACATAACCGGAAGCCTCAGGCCATAATGAAGCGGTGAGAATCGGGGAGGGAGTAATTCACAAAAGAAAAAAGAGGGATAAAAAGAGAATTTTTGAATGGTAATGACGTCAACATATTTCCCCGAGATGCTGTGTCGATTTTTTGTAAAATGATAAAGAATTAGAGAGAGAGGGAGGGAGGAAGAGAAAGAGAGAGATGATACCGATAAGGAGAAAAAAATAAGGAGGAGGAGAGAGAGAAAGAGAGAGAGAGAGAGAGAGAGAGAGATGATACCTATAAGGAGAAAAAAAAAGAAATGAGAAAGAGAGAGGAGAGCTAGAGAGAGAGAGAGAGAGAGAGAGAGAGAGAGAGAGAGAGAGAGAGAGAGAGAAGAGAGAGAGAGG